CTCTCTCTCTCTCTCTCTCTCTCTCTCTCTCTCTCTCTCTCTCTCTCTCTCTCTCTCTCTCTCTCTATCTATCTATCTATCTATCTATCTCTCCCATATGATTTTTACTTTAGTCCGAATACGTTTGTGCGGATCGCTCTTTTTGGGCATTGATTTTTCATAGATTGGTAACTTTTGAAAGGATCTGGTTCTCTTTGTTAAGAATGGCGGATGGGCGTTCGACGGGTAATTTTGGGAATTGCTATAATTGTGGACAATATGGACATTACGCGCGGTGGTGTCCTTTCCCTCGGCGCAATGATTCGTATGGTGTGGGGCCCAATCAGGACACGGGATACGTGCAAGGACGGCCTGTTTACAACGCAGCACATGCCCCGTCAGCTCCTCCCCTTCCCCCAACGCCTGTTCCCCCTCCCCCTCCCCCTCTCCCTCTTCCTCCCCCTCCGATGTTAGGATCTCAACCGCCCCATTTGCAAGCTCCGACTCAGGCTTCATCCGCTGTGCCTTCCTCTTCCAATGCGATTGTGCCTTATCAACCTCCACGTGGTGGCTTTGGAGGAGGCAATGGTCGAGTATGGAGTAGGCCTAGAGATCTTGGCTCTGATAACGAAGCTATGATGATTTTAAGGGAGATCTAGAACGATAGACAGGAGAAAAGAGAACGTCGACGGGAAGAAGAGGACAGAAGGAACAAGGAAGAGCAAGCAAGGATTGCTAGAGAGGAAGAGGATAGAAGAATTGAGGCTGAAGTAAAGAAAGAGGCTGAGCGTGAGGCCAGAATGGCTAAATTAGTTAGGGAACAGATAGAAGAGATGGAGGCAAAAAAGAATGGTGCCTCCGGGGAGATCAGTAAGGCGAACTGGGAAAAGGTTGAGAAGACCGATAAATCTCCTAAAGATGGTGAGACTGGTCGGAATGGTGAAGGAGGTGACAACAGGAAGCGTGATCAGGTGACTATGGCAGGTGAGGCACCAGCGCCCCAGCAGCAAGCAATTTGGAGGCAGCGCGTGGAAGCGAATCCGCTCGACACAGGATTACTGCGCATGGATCTAGATAATGTGAAAAAGGCACAGGAAGCCCACTCCTTACTGTTCCAAGTGATGTTGTCTTGCCTAAAGACCATCAAAGCCCAGGGGGCTGCTCTTCTCACCCCTCCAGCTGTTGCTGCTAACCCCATGCAATCTCCTCCCCCTCCTCCCCCTCCTCCTCCTCCGGTCCAGCAGTCCGGAGCTCAGCCTTCCGTTACGCCACCTGTGGCACCCTCACTAGCTCCACAGCCACCCCCTCCTCCTCCCCCACACCCACCTGCTCACACCTCCATTCCTTCGTCCCCTCCTCCTCCGACTCCGTCACCTGCACCTCCCACTAGGACTGTGCCTCAGGCCCTTGTCTCGTGCAGAGCTGACACTGCCACTGACCCTGGGCCCTCAAGTTTACGAAGAAATTCTGTCACCACTCCTACCGGAAATGGTTTATCTGCACGGCTTGCTGGTATGTTTGCCTCTGTGGCTGGGCATGGGCCGAGACGGCGCTCCTCGGGGATTTCAATTAGTGAAGGGGGGAGATGTTCCTCAGTGCCCGCTTGCAATGAGGATGAGTCGCAGGATTTGGGGTTTGACAGGATCAATCGGGGCAAGAAGGCTACTGTGGCAGGTCCTGGCAAGGAAGGGCGAAAGAAGTACATCGAGGACCTGATTGAAGAACTTATGGCGAAGACTAAGCACGAGCTTGAAGAACTGTGCAAGAAGGACCGCATCAAGTACGTTAACAAGAAGATTACCACGGCTGCGCTGGCTCGTCTGCGCACCATCGAAGCTTATGGCAATGAGGATGTTGATGAGGTCGAGTCTAAGGAGGAATCTCAAGAGGAGAATCCCTCTTGATGATCCCCCGATCCGCCCTCTGCCTGGAGCCAGCTGACTGCCCTACGAGATCAGCGAAGTAAGGAAGGGTGGCAGGGCCGAAAAGCAATAAGAACCGATGTGATCATGCGTTTTCTTGTTTTATTGTTGGCCTGTTATGGACAGTTGAGTTGGGCTGACAAATTTGTGAGTGGTTGGGGTGATTCCTTAGGTAAATGGTTTGATCTGTGTGCATGGGATGGTCCCTGTGTTTATGTGCTGATATCACCATGGTTTAAGGCCACTTATATCGGATCTACTACTCGGTCTGTTAATGTACGATGGGATGAACACGTCAGACACTCTTTTCAACATAATGATGGCAGGAACCATAAGGTTAGACGGTGGTTTCAACGGAAAGGCTGGTCTAGGGACGTTGCTATTCCTACTGCCTTCCCACAGTCTGTTGAAATTCGAGATGTTGAAGTTTCCCTGATATCTAGATGGTCCCCGTCACTTAATTGTGTCAAAAAGAAGAGAACCTGCCGACGCAAGGGAAGGAGCCTCAGGGAGCGTCGGGCATTTCGACGCCGGAACGGGTTGGATTTGATAACTAGGGTGCTGGATGATAGGCTGGTCCTCTGGAATACGGCCTCTATCTCTTTACCCATTCCAGTCTCATGGGATGCTAACTGCCTGTCTTTTTCTGTGACAAAGATACTGAGTGGGTTGGTGGACGACGGTATCTTACAGGTCAATCTGTACAGTTCTGGCGGGACTTTTTTTGCTGACTCATGGGCCAGGATTCAAAGAATTTTCGGCTTCTCTATTGTTGAGGTTGACCATCGAAAATTCATTTTAAAGCAATTGAAAGTTGATTTTTTGAAAGGAGGTATTTTTCACATCTTAAAACTGAGAAAGAGGAAGAACATGTCTGGGTTTAGGCGTGATCTGCTGGCTTCCTTGCTTCAGGTTCCGAGCATAAGGGATGATCTTTACCACTCTAGTCTACTTAACTTGATCAATTTGTACAACTCGATAGAGACATTTCACAAAGAGAAATCTCGTACTATTCTTAAGGGTGTGATTGGAAGGGCATTAATATCCGTGTGTGGCTTTCGATGCTTAGCCCCCACCGTTGTCAAAGTGATATTCGACGACCGCCGACCGGATTCGAAAACCGTCCCTTATGAACCTGGCTAAATCTATTATCCGGCGACGCTGCAAAAATAGTTCCCTCTCCGACTTCTTGATTTCCAGGCTTAGGATCGTCTGGACCAGTAATAGATCTGTGGGAGATGTGCTTCACAATCATAGGATCATGGTCAGACAGTCTTGCAATGGGTGTGTCTGTGATGGACTCGGTAGCTCGTTCCCCAGGGACGAGGCTGGCCACATCCTATTTCGGTTTTCTGAATTTTCTGAAATACCTCTACCACTAAGGAATTCTAAGAATATTCTGCGTCCAACTAAGGAACAGTCTGTTGGGAGAATTAAGAGGGCTCTTTCCGAAGGATTAGCACATATTCCCAGTATGGATATGTCCCCCTGTAGTGCAAAAAGTGTTATCTCATGCTACAGTGCGAAAACATGGGGGGAGTTTGTCTATGAAGGTATTGCGCTTTCGTGGAGGGAAAAGCTGCGGGGACTAGTTGTGTCTTCGATTGACCACAATATGGGTGACTCTTTAGTCTGCTGTCCCACGATTCATGAGTATCTCTACTGGGATAATGAGGGCTTTGAGACGACACAAGAAGTGAGCAAGATATTCTACGGGCTTGCAAGGACGCGTATTATTCTATTTAGGCTCACAAACTTGCTCCATGGAATAACCGAGGGATTCAGGGCTCGGCGTACGGGATTCCCAAACACAAAGATGTTGCTAGATGGAGACCCATTGCTCCTTCTTTTTTCGAACCTAGTATCCGGGCTTGCTGTAGCGGTACCCCTACGGCCCGGCAGTGAGGCCGGACCAGTCTCAGGCTGTCGGCCTGACCCTGGTCCGGTCGGTACCAGGTTGCTCCGCTGCTGGACCTAGGCCGGTATATCACTCCGGCCTAGGCCCAGGGCGCGAGGTTCATTCATTCTGTTCGTTCATTCGTTCATTGTCGGACTGGACCTTCACTCAGCTGCTGCTTCCTGTGTGTGTCCATCTCTCTCTCTCTCTCTCTCTCTCTCTCTCTCTCTCTCTCTCTCTCTCTCTCTCTCTCTCTCTCTCTCACCATCTCCGCACGTGCCACTACACGT